CCTCATATCCCTATTCACCCCGATGATGTGCACAAGACAACTATTACAACTCCTTTTGGGTTACTTGAGTTTTTACCTATGCCCTTTGGTTTAAGGAATGCTGCTCAGACCTTTCAACGTTTTATTGACCAAGTTCTCCACAATCTGGATTTTGTATTCTGTTATTTAGATGATAATCTCGTTGCTTCCAAAACCCATGATGAACACATTACTCATCTTCGCATACTGTTTCAACGCCTACAAGATCATGGCGTAGTACTTAACGTTCAGAAATGCGAATTTGGTGTTTCCTCTTTAAATTTTCTCGTACATACGATTAATCAGCATGGCATTACTTCCGCACAACCTAAGCTAGACGCTATCACCTCATTTCCATGTCCCACTTCTCTTCGTCAACTGAAGCGTTTTCTTGGAATGGTTAATTATTGTCGTGGTTTCATTCCTCATGCAGCCGCCATGCTGGTGCCTTTGACTGACCTGTTGAGAGAAACTCATTCTGACTTTCATTTTTCTGAGCAAGCTCAACAAGCATTTGAGAAAGTCAAATGTACCTTAGCGAAACAATGTACCTTGTTTCATGTGCGCCAAGGTGCCCCCTTGTCTCTCCACGTCGATGCATCTAACATTGCAGTAGGGGCTGTTCTGCATCAAACCGTTGACCACCAGAAACAACCACTTGGTTTCTTCTCCAAGTGACTTCAGTCAACGGAGACGCGGTATAGTGTATTTGGTCGAGAACTTTTGGCCATATATCTAGCTGTGCGTTACTTCAGACATCTTTTGGAAGGCCGTGAATTTTGCATCTATTCAGACCATAAAGCTCTTGCTTCAGCCTTTTCTGCTAATCCTGAAAAATATTCGCCCCGAGCGATTCGCCAACTTGATTACATCTCTCAGTTTTCCACTGATATCCGGCATGTTGCCGGCAACCGAAACGTAGTCGCAGATACTCTGTCTCGTCCTGGTGTTAACTGTGTTTCCACAATCGATTTACACCAGATGGCGAAGGCTCAGAAGACAGAATCATCCGAACCATTCTCATCACCCTCTGAGAAATTTTCACTTGTGTTAAAACCACTCCCTCTCTATACACATCCTGGAACAATCGAATGTGATGGTTCGACGCATGTACCACGTCCATTGGTACCACCATCTATGCGCCGACAGGTTTTTGAAACTTTTCACAATGTTTCACATCCAGGAATCCGCCAATCCATCCGTCTCATCTCTGAACGATACGTATGGCCAAACATGAACAGAGACATCAAGGAATGGGCTGCAAATTGCCTTTCCTGTCAACGTTCTCAAGTCATCCGCCATACACGCTCACCTTTCGGAACCTTTAGCAATCCCGATGCCCGTTTTGCTCATGTTCATTTGGACATCGTCGGTCCTCTTCCTGTGTCAAATAGCAACGCGTATATCCTCACTTGCATCGATCGCTTTACACGTTGGCCAGTCGCTATTCCTATACCTGACACTCACACGGAAACAATCGCTCGTAATTTCATTAACCATTGGGTCGCGACATTTGGTGTTCCAGCCACCATTACGACTGATCGCGGTTCCCATTTTGAATCCATTCTTTTCTCAAACATTACCAACATTCTTGGCTGCCAAAGCATCCGTACCACGGCATATCACCCGCAAGCAAACGGCTTAGTGGAACGTTTGCATCGCCACATCAAAACAGATCTAATGGCTCACAACAATCCATCTCAATGGTGTGATTTACTACCACTTGTGTTGTTACAACTACGTATAATGTTTCGACAAACTTTGCAATGCTTACCTGCAGAACTTGTTTTTGGAACCACTTTACGCCTGCCCGGCGAATATTTCTGTCCGTCCAATACAGAACATCCACAACCATCTAATTTTGCAACAGAGTTGAAATTACACATGTCAAAACTCTGTTACGCACCTCCACTCTCAACCAGTACAAGTTCTTACGTTCCCTCTGACTTAATGCATTGCGCTTATATTTCCATACGTTCAGATCGTGTGCGCATACCCTCCAACCACCGTACGATGGACCCTACCGAGTCATTTCTCGCGGTCCTAAGCATTTCACTGTTCAACTCCCAACTCGGACCAACACAGTGAGTATAGACCGTCTCAAGCCCGCACACATCAAAGTTGCAGTCAACCCCTCGAATTACGCCACTACTACGTAACCGCAATCACCAGTCACGCCTCCGAATTACGTCACACGTTTCGGTCGTCAAGTTACGAGACCCGACCGATGCAGACCAATTTGACTCTTCGCAAGAGAGCAGTATGTATAGCACCGCAGGCACGCACGCACGCACGCGCAGACGAGACGTGCAAGCTTGGCCGATACAAGGTCACTGGATCTAAGCGACACATGTGAGACTTGAAAATGACACACAACACAAGCATCACGTGCACCACGGCCGATGACTCGCCAACGAGGCTGACTACATGCGAGACGATTGAACAGTGCATTGTGCCCTACCATGCTATAGTGTTAAATTGTGTCAAATTATTGTTACTTTTGACTATCTATTTTCCTATCTAATCTCGGAGTTTTCATTATTATTTGTTGGGTCGTTAAGTACGCAATAATACGCAACCGTATTTTCATATAAAACCCCAACGGATTCCAGTCCCAGCTTTGCTTTTCTCTGTCTGTAGAGTGTAAACAAATCGGTCTTACAGCGCGGCGTTGCGAGCAAACAAGTCCGAAATTGTTCCGAATAAGAAAGGTGATTTATGTCGATTGCTGTTCTCCGCAGCAGACAACAGAAAATGGCCAGTGGCGCGATTCTCACACAGCTACATCTAACTTATATTGTTACCCGATTTAGAAATGGATTTTCGCGGAATGTGATAGCTTGGCTATTTATGAATCTACATTAACTTTGGGTAACGCAATTTTCCTCACCCATTGCAAATTTATCTGCAAAGGCCAGCTGCCAACGCATAAATGAGCTTGGTTCCAGCCACAATAGATCTTGCTCTAACCACTGTACTACTCAGTGGTACCGGGAGGTTTGGAATAATCGACCCTCACAAATGAACTGCGAAGTTGTAATTTCTGTACTTGTTCGAGGATTCATCCAGATAGTAATTTATTCACGGTATGGAAGTTCATTGCTGTGAGATAGTTGCTGTCTCATTAGTTGATCAAGGGGGTGAGGCATGAGGTAGCACTGCTCTGTTAGCGCTTCGTTGCCGACGTCACAATTTTGCTGAACCTCACAGGCCTATGTAGCCATCTCAGCTTCGTGTGTGGAACTTCAGCTAACGTGAGCTATACTCGTCTACACGATATGCACACTTCCTTTACCCAAAAAATCCGTTAGTTCCTGGATTCCATGCGCATGGTATCTAACACACAGATGTAACGCGAAATCCTTTAGTCTGAAGTGAATTGAGACAGGCAGTTAAAAGCAAACAAAAGATATGTGCTTTTAAATATGCAGTTTTTAAATACAGCCAAAGTATTTCTTCCCGACTAAGAACAAGAACAAATATTAAGAGACTGGGCCACAACATATTTTCAGATTATGGCGCAGTGTTAATTGGGTGAATACTAAAAAGGACACTGTTTGCCCCAGCACAACTTGTTACTAGTATTCTGCACGACACAATCCTCTTACAGCGAATCAACGCCGGAAAATCAATAAGAGTATTACTGTTTCGATTTCACTTGATCAGTTGAAGTGTCACAAACATGAATCTGCATTGTAATTTGTCCGCCGTACTGAGCATGGTTTGATTGAATCACCCTAGAAGTTAATTGGCTGGTTGTATGAATATCTGTCAATAGGCATTTTTCTGAAAACACTTGACGGCCCATGAGCTGCAAGGTAATTGCGGTTATATTATCAGCTCCGGGGTAGTCATTGTAAACTGGATTCATTCGGATATCTGAGGACCTAGCATCTTCAACAGCCAACAGGGTGTAGAAGAGGTACGTTTTGCATTCACTGTCTAGTCCATTTTTGGATAAACGGATGATTCCAGCAAGTGAAAGATCCAAAATTAACACCGCAACAATCTGGTACAGTGCAAGCGGAATAAGCGTTCTTCGATCAACTTAGGAGGCATTTTAATTGGAGCAAGTAGCTTAATGCCGTGTTGCATTTCAAAATGCTAACCTTGCTACGAAACGCTTAACTATATCCCACTGTGATGGACTTGAAGTATCCACTTCTCTACTGATACACAATGTAGTAGGTATGAATGCAGCAACTGCAGAAGTCTTTAATGCTTAGTTGCCCAGTCCAAATATACCAACCCTGTCCCGTGTTTAGAATCATCATACCCTATCTCCAAACTGTCGTTCCACACTTAGCGCAATGATATTTTTATCTCCGCGCCTCGTACGCACCCTTCCGTGAACTGTATACACCTTTCACTTCACCTTTCCATGACACTCGCCAAGCAACTTTACATTCCGTTCCGCGACAATTATGAGCTTGTCAGCCCTCCTCCAGGTCAGTACACTGTTAACTCTATGCCGACTAATCTCACATAATTTCAACCTCCACACAACAATCCTCTTTCGCTTGTCCTACAAATATACTAGGCACTATGATGCGCCCACTTTGCACCACGTCGCTCTGACACCTAGCATGTTGGCTCTCGAACCGAATTGCCCGCCGTTGTGGGGGCTTTTGGTTGGAAACGTTATCGTTTCCGTATGTGTTGTCATCGATTGTTACCTTAATTGTAAACAGTGCCGTTATTCCCTTATTGCTAATTTGGTCTCGTTGGAACTGAGTTACTCATATCTTCCAAGGACATTTTGTCGTTTAAATCTAGAGTTCGGTGTTTTCATGCTTTTACCTATAAGCCAGCAACTCACTTTGTAAAAGAGGTGCACATTCAATTCAAATATGTCCTAAAGGCGTGGAGCCAGTTTCGGTGTTTGTCTAAATATACCAGGATCTAGTAAAAGCTCTAGAATTAACTATGTTTCCGTTAGAATTATCGTTGCAATCACATTGAAGTACTTTTCACCCTCTTAGGTGTTGTTGGACCTTATGGGTCTTCCGGGCAGACCATTTTGGTACAATGGGTCCAGGATACTCAACGGTTATTTCAATGTGTGAGTTGTATTCTATTTGAATGCATTTGAAATTGAACAGACAGCTGAGGCGGTTTTCGTTGTTATTGAATTAGACTACACGTTTTCAACACCGCACTGTAGGATACGACTATCAGTGAACGGGTCCTGGAGCACACAGACACAACAAGGAACAGCCTCACCTATGGGAAGCACAAGCAGTGTGTTGAGCACACATATTGGAACCGGTTGCCATGTGGAAAGACGTGTGCGTATTCGGAAGACATAGGTAAGCAGTCGACTAACGTGCAACTGAGAAGAATGCACAACTGAGAGGGCTTTGATGAGTAACGGACGGAAGAGTTAGGCGGTGAAACAGACAACAGGAGACTTGGTTGGTGAGTGTTTGTGCGGTCCATTCGCCGTCTACACTCGAGAATATACACCCGTATTCAAGGGGACAGGATCACATAAATGTTTTGTTGCGTGAAACCAACTATGTGAGAAAAGCTACGGCGTAACAGGTCAGACTTACGAAAAGTGCAGCGACTCTCAAGGACGGGACAGAAATAAATGCATGTGTCGTTAAGCGGTAGGCGATATGAAAACGTAGTTACTATAAAGAATTAAACCAACACGTGATGGAAAGTGCTAAATTCATAACTTCGGTGTTTAAATGAAGCGGTTAGCAAAGGAAAAACTGTGGACTTGCAGTCAACACCAATAGTCGAAACCGCGTGGTGAACGAATGCGGATACACTTTAATCAATCGAAAACTTGGTTATAAACAGTTTACTTATTACTTGTCAGTAGAGTAGTTTGCTCTCGCGAATTTTTAACCTACAGCATGTGTCTGTTCCCATGGCTTTAAGCTCGTGCTCCCCATTGCATGCCTGTACCACACGTATTTCACACCACAGATTGAGTCACGCATTGCTACCTACGGCAATGGTGAAGACTACATTTTCTTCCAAACCGAGGGCCTTGTTTCTTACTTAGTCTTTCAGTCGCTGCAGTCAATTTGGAACGGACAACGATCAACGCTGGTCCTCGTGTGTGCTCGCATAGGGCTCACGTGCATATACAACAGTAACGTCATACCGCAACTTTGACCACCTGGTTCAGATGAGGTTTCTTGTGTTGTCGTGTCATCAGCTGAAGGCATCTGGGATTTCAGTGTTGTTCTAAACCGATACACATCAATGGAATCCAGTGGTCAAACGAAATCGTGGAGTTCACTCCGAAGCTATGTAAGTTCCCTAGGACGCATTTGAAGACGATGGCTCTTCTGGGTTCAGTATGCGCCCCTCTGGTCTGCAGGCGGAGTAGGTGAACGAATACGAAAGGTAGTGTGCACACATGGAACGCGACACCCAATAATAAGCAAGGACATAACTACTTCGTCCAACGGCTGCCCAGAGTGTGAACATGTGAAATGTGAGCGAAGCAAAGGAAAAACTAAATTTAATCAATCGGAAAACTCTAACTACGCGACGTTATCACAAAGGCACCTATTAAAAACACCTATTAAAATAACCAAGAGCATAGACTTCCGGATCACGATGCTGACACACACGCCAAAGCGAGTTGAACACGCATTGCCGGCAGTAGCGTAAATAGAGGCGATCGTTTTCCTCAGTAAAATACTAACCGGAATGAGTGTGTCTTGTGCATAAGCTTCCCATAAAACCTTCACATCAAACCATTTGGGATATATGTGGTAAACGGCACCTAAACTTACGTCGAACGTACTACCGTAAGCTACATTCGGTACGTCACGACACATACCGGGCAAGTGTTTCATTGTTACCGCTGTGCATTTATGCCTGAGGACACTGGCTGTAATCAGCCACCGGATCATATAACCAGTTGAACCACAGAGTGAATAATGCTGAACTTCGTCGGTAGAAGTTTGGCTGCAATCCATCCAAAGCCGCATGGACTGTCCGTGGAATTTGAACTGCCAACTTTTGTGAGGCTATCTTCTTTGCATACTTGCGAGCCGGCTAAGCATGCATGGGGTAGTTGACTATCACACTGCTAGTCAAATAAATACTCAAAGCGATCACATTGTTGTACAGAGAAGAGGCGTCATATAATTGACCGAAACGCCGTCAGTTTGGTTCACCTCTACTTCCTGGTCTGATGGTGTCCGGAAAGGCGCATTAGTGATTTGCCACCCTGGCCCACACGAATCAGCCACGAAGTAGGTGGTAATCTTACACGCAGTCTCTTACCTTGTGCAAACAAGATTTCAAATGTATATGTTTCGTCTTCTTCTAGCTGGTCTTAATTTTTAACGCGTACATGCCTTCTACTTTGTTTTCCAATTTTATCGTCGTGGTACTTGGAGCCACGGAAACTGGAAACAAAGCACTTTGATGCTCGAATCATCGGCAGATCACCGGTTGACATCCTAGGTTGGATGTAAATGCGTGCAGTTCAAATATTAGAAAACGGTTGCAAGCGGTTTATTCCTCGACGCGTTCTATGGTCGCCCGCTTCCAGCATTGCACCTCGCCGTTTAATCTAAGTCTGTCTAGGCTCTTTAGCAAATGCCTTCTGATCCGTTAATTTAGCTTACAAGGCATTTGGATTACTAAACAAGCTTAAGCTAAGCGTTACTGTACGCTGGTAACATCTAGTTAGTCACCAGTACCAACCTCACACTTGCGACAGCCACGAGCATGCTGAGTTTGGTGCTTGGAAGATTAGGCCTACCTGGAGGATTTCAGAGTTGCGCTCTCTCACTCCCGCACTCCACAACCAGCTGTTTCGTCCTTGTTTGGACTCATCAGGTAGTGTTAGTCTGATTTCGGAAGTAGAACTCGACACCTGGTGGTTGTCGGTTATCGCCATGCTTACCTGACCGATGAGCTCTGCAAGCATAGTACAAAACCAGGCAATCAACTTAAGACGACCTGATGACGCATGCAGTGCAGGAATACCATGTCTAGTTAGTATAGTTGCCACTTGAAGGTATCTCTGGCCTACAGTACACGGTTTTGCCCAGATTGCAGATGTGTTGCGTCTCCAGTGTAGTCGAATCATAATTAAACGGCTGCCAGGTCTTATGCCATTACCACGCAACTTAGTGTGTGACTCCAGACTAAGCCAAGCTTAGGCTGAATTTTCACATTTGCCCACCCACTTATCGCAGCCCTTGGATTTCCGATTCCGAGACAGACCAATCGTTGTTGGGGTGTAAATGATGCAAATTTATCACCATCGTCTTCGTGTCAAAATTTTCCTGCTTTAAAGCACCGGTTACAGCTGAAACACTATCCTCTATAACTCGGGTACAGGTGCTTCCATCTTGTTTACTTCTGGGAGGTGCAAGTTGGAAGGGTGTGCCGTTCTCAGCTCGGTTGAGTCAACCGTTCACATGCCTGTCGGTCGTACTCATTCAGATTTACACTAGATAGGCCGTGAGTGGGTTGAAACGTAGGTGTGCTGCAAAGCAGACAATCCATGGTCTCTTTGTAGGCGGAAACATCCAGTGGCTGTTCGCAGGAACAACGACAAACAATTCAGGAAAAGAATACAACCATCCATGCATTGAGTTGAATCTCAGGTTACTGAACTGAGTGCCAAGCTAGCACTTATTGTTCGTAATCTTAAAGCTATGATGAATACAAGAAATAATTACGTATGGCGATGTATACGAGCAATGACTGGGGCTATACTTCAAGGATCACAACCTGCCTCGTAATCTGACGGTGCGAGTTCGAGCCTGTGTAAGGACCGCGAGACCCTCGCAGTATCTATAACCCACGTGCGACCGGTGGTGGTTGCGCAGCAATGAAGAGTCGGTGCCCCCTGACGAAACACTGCGGATGCTTTGTGCTTTCAAGGCATGTGTCTGTTGCCAATCCAGATACACGACGACCGTTACATGGGTACTGAGGGGAGTAGCGAGCGAAATCCATCCGTGTCATCTAAGTGTTAATTTGTTTGCTCATTTATTCATGTAGTTCTTTATGTAAAATAGTGTGATATATGGTGTTACATTGATGGGAGTGTATACAGGATAAACCCGATTTTCAGGTGCACGATATAAATGAAGGTTTGCGGCATAAATAAATGACTTTACAAGTGAAAGTTGGTTATTTGAATAAGAGTATCAGAAGTAGACACGGCCAAACCACAGATGACTATACCATTATGACTGAAGGACGGGATCTGAATGACGAGGAGTATTTCAGAATAGTTAATAGGAATAACATTACAATAGCATAGTCTGAATGCTGATATTACGAGATTATCCAGCCTATCTGAATTCAGAGGAATTTTGGAAATATTTTCTTGCTTGCTATCTTGAAACATGGCAAGGGAAGAACAGGAATATATCGGCGAACAACTTGTGTTACCTATATTGTAAAAACAAGCAAAGGAAACTGACGCGATCCGGATGATTACGAGGAAGAGTATTCACTGCATCCATCACAAATAACTTACTAATAATTAAATGATTGTTGTTTGCTCTTTGGAAGTGATTTTGGCTAGAACGCATTGTTCCGTGACATGCAAGCCTTGATAACGGCACAGCTGCCGCACTAGTTACAGAATTGTGACTTTTAATATATAACAAGCTGGGAAGGATAGAGCTTGTCTTATTAAGCCTCCAGTAGAAATATTTGCTGCACCTTACTTACCTCGATTTCTCTCCGTTCATCAGTCTACCTATGTTAACCTCAATGGGATCTCGATTCACCTCTCGTGTGGATCGTCGTTGCAATGTGTTTCGTGGTTACGGCATAATCGCACCAGTTCCATGTCACTTCCGTGCGCTACCTTGGTGTGAAATCAGCGTCATTGGACAACGTGAATTGCAACGCACCCATCCAAAGAAATGGGTTCGAATGGCTTGAGAACTCCAACAACAGAAAGTTTGACAGTGCTTCGACTACTGGTCGACTGAAGCGCATTACTTACCTACATTGCTAATGTGATGAAACGACTGCTTTTACTCATTTTGACAACAAACATTATTTCGAACCGGACATTTTAAAGAAATATACTCTATGCTACCAACTTATTAATTTTTCGCCTTTCGTAAGCATTAAGTACGACTGCAATTGTTTCACTACAGAGCCACGAGAAGTAGCAGCACGTTAGTGCACGCCGCCAGGAACCGTATTCCACGCTTTTGTGCCACAGTGCATCAAGGTGAGTTAAAAACCGATCAGTGATCTTTTCCCAAGATTCACTAGTCCACACTTGCTCAAATGCAAACGATCGAAAGGGCGAGGTAGGCACCAAGTGCTAAATTTCCGCTTCCTCGAAACACTCCCAATCTGCTAAGTAAGACGTTGGAGACTCACGATTTCTAGTGCTTCCTACAACACCTGCAAAGGCAGTCGGTGGCCACTTCGTTCAGCTGGAACTAGTCAGTAGTGCGCACTCTTCTTATAACCATATCTGCTAAATTGAAACCCCTCAAATAATCTTCATACACAGTTAGCATTTGCAACTGTTCGCGAAGCTTATAATATCGAGACACGATTCATGGAATATTGATAAAACTCACATCTCTGGGGGTCCAGCCCTGATGTCTGCGGGTTACAGTCCAGGCTGTGAAGCAACAAATCAACCTCAGTAACTGTAACTCGTACCTCAGCGCCATCACTCATGACTCAGTCGCGTTAGTTGCGGAATACTTAATTGGTGACCATGGATTGGAAACTGAGGAACGGAGGGCGCGGAGCGCTACTAAAAATCCCAGACATAAGATGCGGCCGCTAAATACATTTTCGGGTGATACTGTATACATGCTCGAATCCGGCAGTAACAAAAAGCTGAAAATGATACTCGTGTCTGGAAGTTATTCCATTAGAGAGTTGGATCATGCGGAAACAAAATCTGAAGACAAAATATTGACCTTTTAACCAAGAGTAGCCTCCAACTGTTGCATTTGAGGCGCAATATCAACGAATCGAATGCACAGCAGGCTTTGGTAGACCGTGTGATTTAACAAATAGGGCAAAATTTATGACTATCGAAGATATAGACTTTCAGGTGTTGGATACAGCCATCCTAGTTCGAGCAAGCAAAAGGTAAGCATTTCTAGTCAGCCCTTCGAGGGTATAACCGTTTCGTGCTGAGTTTCTTTATTTCAGGTGGTTGGTTTGCTATCTTTTCTTGATATATTTAAACCTGACTTTGATGTCTGCCTGAATAAACTTCTATTAACTTTCACGGGTCACTTAAACTAATGGAGGTTAACTTTGCATTCGTAACCTTTTTAATATATTTTTCACACATCATGAACTTATGGCGGATTTGTTAATAGCCAATATATTTCACATGTTCATTTACCGAACAGTTCTGTTGGCTTACCCAAATGCTTTAATCCATATGTATTATTTGATATTGCCACTTAACTGAGGGGCTGTTGCTTGATATCCCCGGTTTGGCTGCGCTTGATGTGCATGTTGACAAGGTGTCTACCTGTCTATTACCCACTACCTCGTCCATACTGGCTCTAGGAGACAGCTGGTCGTTGCTGGAGAGGACGTGGTTCACGGTCCTTGTAGCCGTGTTAGGATCAAAGAGTGGTTCCATGCACTCAGTGTGGAGCGGACTACGGTCCAGCCACCGCCTTGCGTGCACTTGATGCCCAAGTACAGCTTGCTTGTTTTTGCCTGAGAAGGAGTGTGGTCTGGCTCCGCTGATGAAACGTGGCTCCTATCCACATTCCTCCCGGTCTTATTCTTCGAGTTTACCCTGTATATGGGGTGTGTGCTTGGAGCTGTGGGTGCTGCAACGCAAGCCATCCATGGTCCCTCTGTAGGCACAGGCGTCCCGTGGCTGGCCACAGTGACGGGCAAATCCGAAAGCGTATGCCGCCAACCATATGTATATGTATATATATATATATATATATATATATATATATATATAACATTTTCGACTGAACTGCACTGGTGCAGTAAGATATTTGCACCAATCTCCAACAACGTTGGCTTCGAACCCACTGGAATGGAAATGACGGCGCCATGTTGCACTAGATCTCTACACAACGAGTAAATAGGCAAAAGTTGGTCAACCAGACGAAGGTGCGTGATTTTAATGGGTATCATTCCAAGAGTCTGACAGCAAAAGCCCGATAGATATATGTTTTCATGCAGCTTATGTTGCACAAACGCATTTAGCTGTTCCTTTGTATAATCATCCATTAACCGAAAAGTAAAATGCACTTTACCCCGAGCCGATACAGGTGGTTCACAGATTTACAATTGCCTTCGGGGAGCGAAAATCTTATTATCACTGCGGGCAGTAAAAATATTTACTACGCCACTGGCACACAGACATAAACTGTTAAAAACACTGGTGCCATAACAGACGCAAACTTCAGTTTCGGCAATTCAACTCGAGGTAAAAAATGTAAAATCCAACAGGTTCTCCTTCCCTGTGCTTCTTTTTCAATAACTCGTTTGTCTGCAAATCAATATCTCCAAGTGTAGTCCAAATGAAACATAATCTCGGTTGCAATTGAATGGATTATGGAACCGAAGAATTTGCTCTCATTGCTGCCGACATCTGAAAATTGCCTCTACAAGTCAAGAAAAATTGTCTTCTGAGAATCAAGGGAGACAACTTCGGTGATCGCAACGCTAAACTCTGCAAAAAATGAACATGTGCATACTTTTCTACTTCTAGTTGTGTCGTACTCGCAGCTTTCTCCGAAACCCGTTGATGATTCTGTAGAAAGCACAGAATATATTCTCCTTTCATGCTCAGTTCATTCATGTGGAATGTGATGTCGACCACAAATGTCGGGTTTAACAGCCAGGTAGGATGTGACAACTATATGTCATATCAACCTTTTCAGTATGGAAAGTAGCTATTTCATTTCGGCGCTTGCAAGAGTGAAACATGACTGCGCCACCTACTGATGTGGTTTATGGCATATCAAAACATCCGGAACCGGTGTCTTCCAGAAAATACGGGAATTGTCGGTGATAGAAAGCTTGTCCCCGAATGTAGTTAGCCACAGAAACGCCCGGCTTCAGTACACAAGAAATATCTGTGTTTCCTACACAGTGCGTATTGATGTAGGATACAGTGTACGTCCGGAGAGGCCGGAATTGTCAAACCTCCCGAAGGTTTATGATCTGCTTATCAGACCCTTCCTCAATCCAGTCACGTTTTTCCTCCATTAACGGCAACACCACAAAGCTGATTCCACGAATGGTTATAGACTTGCAAGATTTTGTGCAATTCCACACAAAGTTCCTTTCCAATAATCCTACAGACCGATACCAAATCTCCTGTATTATGAGATTCCAAAATCGGCACAAGCAGTTGATACGGGATGCTTTGACGTATTCGAGAGATCAGTGGACCAATCCGGCGCCAGGGAATGCCACAATATGTCCTCGACTTCATCCAGTATCTGCAGTCAAATGTTCTTTTCAACTTTTTTTGTCCTCTGCACAGCTGGACTTGTCGAAAGGCTGTTGGATGTAAACATTGGTTTTCTCAAGACAAATCATTCACAGCTGCTTTTATACACCCTGTGATTAAGTTTCCATCAGGAAACAGTTTTCCTCCTTATGCCATCTTGTGCACTACGTTGTAGCAAATACGAGTGGCCGCTTCACAGTCAAAGAACTTTCTCCTGAAGGGAATTTCTTGAGAATCACATTTCTCCGAGCGTTACTTTCCAGGAAACTTTAAATATACTAACAAATGTTTTGTCTCCTAATGAACAAAAAGTTGACCCATTCAAAACGGTATGAAATTCGCCGCATATTACGCTATTGGTTTTCCGGTCCATGGTTTTCACAAAGCAACATTTTACTCCCTATCCTTCATAGAAAACTCGACATTTGATTTCCACCTTCCTCTTCTTAGCAACTAGGACGTGCTGTGCGGTAAAGGGGAGCTGCAAATAAAAAAGCATTGACTTAGAATCAAAACTGACACCTTACTGGAACACAAGGGAATCATGGAAGTAAGAGTCGCCAGTGAAGCTACGGCTCACCATACAGTTTATAGATAACTTTGGTAATAAAAGATATCATATGAGGAGCGTTGCAAATATGTATATAGGGCCGGCCTAAATAGACAGCTTGTAGCAGTAAGGTTTAACTTCGGTTCTTTGACTGGCAGTCAGGGGTTTCGCAGAAATTGACCGAAATCGCCTGAATCCAACGCTTCCGCTCATCTGGTTTGACAGGGACGCTCCGCACCCTTCGCCGTGTGCACAGTTAGCTGATATGTGACCTACCTTGAGAAGTCTGTAGCACTTTCCACTTATGGTGTGCGCGGTCCCAATGGATAGGTAACACGTTATCACTCGAGGTGCCGAAACTGGTGAACAACATGAAAGGGCCAAACATGGCTTGGTTCGGCAATGATATTACACGAACGTGTCCAAACCTAGTGGAGTAATACTATGATATGATCGAAAGTGCATTAGTGCGTAGACCGTAAAAGAAGAGTTAGAATGGGCGCATGGATTCGTTGGGTGCTCAAAATCGGTTCCCGTTGGCAGGCAGGATCCGGCCTGCGGGCCGTAGTTTGGTGACCCTTGTTGTAACATGTGTATCCTATCAATCAACCGAAATCTAACAAACGACACCAGATTTGTACAGCTTCATACCAAGCGTTTTAAATGTATCCAAGAGCTTTCTTAGTGTTTTCGAGTTACGCCATTCAGTACTCGTCATAAACTGCCAATGGGCGAAGAGACTTTCTGATAACATTGGGTACAAAACAATAAAGGGCCAGTTCCGCACTTATAAGGCGGCGAATACGGTTACGTGTTTGTTAGGGTATTTTAATCTTACCTACTGTAATAGTATACATCATTGATCCACTGTTGTTAAAGGTGGATTTTAGTCTGTGATTTTTGGTTCGTATG